ATCATATTCGCGAGGTGGTCAAGGTCAAGGCCCATTTGTCTCTGAATGATGAAGGTCTCTCTCGTGATGAGATGGCCCGCAGGCTCGGAAACCACACGGCCGACCTCGGGGCCAAAGAGGCCCTCCTTTTCCATCCCAGAGACGAGGAGGTGGAAGAAGCTGACCTTTGCGTTAAATTCGCTTAAGCCGCTTGTAAACTGGCTGCCAAGCTGCTGCCCGAATTTTCCGCTCTCAGAGCTTCGAACAATGTCCAGTATACTCAGTACCTCCCTGTTGAAAGAGCCCCTCAAGCTCCTGCTGGCAAAATGCACAGATGGTTTAGTTTTGAAGATTTTTGGCGCTGCGCGAAGTGTCTCCAGATCCGTCGCCCGCGGGATGGTGGAAAGCCCCTGCCAGGACGGTGTTCGGGACTAAAAGCGTGGAGCGTCGCCAGCCTTAATAAATTGGAGCACAGGTCTGTCATGTTTCCCTGCAGTGACGGGGCTGAGTTGGTTATTTGCATGAGGTGTAAATGCTACCCTTCCCACGGCAGTCTGCGCGGGCTCCACGCCAAGTGCGAACCTCCTCCAGGTAAGTTTGGTATGTGGGCGTGGCAGCAGATAATGTCAGGGCCGTCACCCTAAGAGAAGGGGGGGTGAGGTCCAGGCGGATATAAATTTTCGTGACGGCTCTTGTATTTTCGACGTTGACCCGCCGCTGCCTAGCGCCGCGGTGGCCCCTCCGCCTCCGAGGCCCTCTGGTGCGCGCCCTTCGAACCCCCTCCGTTCGGTGGTCGATGCTTTGAGGCAGGAGGTTTGGGCCCGCGCTTTTCAGGATAAGGTTCAGCGTTTGTGCCGCGAGGCAGGTGCTGCGCAGTCAGTCCCGAGCTCACTTGAAGTCAATGCTTCGGACGACTCGGATTAGTGCCGTCCGGCCCAGTGTGCACACACGCATTGTAGATGTACGTGTTCAGCTGACCAGATGATCTGTTAATCACTCTTTGGCGCGTTCGGTGGCCATCCCCGTTTGGTGAGAGCCCCAGCGTGTCGCAACAAATAGTGGATCTTGTTCTGGCGGCACTGGGCTTTCTTATTTTCTTGCTGCAGCCTGTAAGCGCCACGTGCAGGCTGCCTGCAAGCCCCCGAAGTGGGGAAAGTCACGGTGGTTGGAAGCCCACCGGGAAACCAAATCCCCCCTCCTCCATCCTCCCTCCTCCCTCCTCCCTCCTCCCTCCTCCCTCTTCTTTCCTCCTCCTCCTCCTCCTCCTCCTCCTCCTCCTCCCCCTCCTCCTCCTCCTCCTCCTCCTCCTCCTCCTCCTCCTCCTCGTCCTCGTCCTCGTCCTCGTCCTCGTCCTCGTCCTCGTCTCGTCCTCGCCTGAGCCGCAGCCTGCACAAGCATCAGCCTGCCTCAGCTCCAAAAAAAACCCTCCAGCCTGCTCAGCCTCAGCCTCAGTCAGCCTGCTTCAGCTCAGCATCAGTCTGCCTTCAGCCTCGGCCTCTAGCCTCCGCCTGCCTCAGCTCAGCCTGCTGAGGAGCAGCCTCATCCTCAGCCTGCCTCAGCCTCAGCCTCAGCCTGCCTCAGCCTCAGCCTGCCTCAGCCTCAGCCTCAGCCTGCTTCAGCCTCAGCCTCAGTCTGCCTTCAGCCTCGGCGTCAGCCTCAGGCTGCCTCAGCCTCAGCCGGCATCAGCCTCAGCCTCAGCCTCAGCCTGCCTCAGCATCAGCCTGCCTCAGCCTCAGCTTCAGCCTGCCTCAGCCTCAGCCTCAGCCTGCTTCAGCCTCAGCCTCAGTCGGCCTTCAGCCTCGGCCTCAGCCTCAGCCTGCCTCAGCCTCAGCCTGCATCAGCCTCAGCCTCAGCCTCTGCCTGCCTCAGCATCAGCCGGCCTCAGCCTCAGCCTCAGCCTGCCTCAGCCTCAGCCTCAGCCTGCTTCAGCCTCAGCCTCAGTCTGCCTTCAGCCCCGGCCTCAGCCTCAGCCTGCCTCAGCCTCAGCCTGCCTCAGCCTCAGCCTCAGCCTGCCTCAGCCTCAGCCTCCGCCTGCTTCAGCCTCAGCCTCAGTCTGCCTTCAGCCTCCGCCTCAGCCTCAGCCTGCCGCAGCCTCAGCCTGCATCAGCCTCAGCCTTAGCCTCAGCCTTAGCCTCAGCCTCAGCCTGCATCAGCCTCAGCCTCAGCCTGCCTCAGCCTCAGCCTCAGCCTGCTTCAGCCTCAGCCTCAGTCTGCCTTTAGCCTCGGCCTCAGCCTCGGCCTGCCTCAGCCTCAGCCTGCCTCAGCCTCAGCATCAGCCTGCCTCAGCATTCAAAATGTGGCCCGGGAATGGAGTTCTGGGAACTCGAAGAAACGAAGTGGCCTACAGTTGGCCCAAGAATGGAGTATGCCAGAGAATGAGTTCTGGGAACTCGAAAGACCACGAAGTGGCCTAAGTTGATCCGGCATTCAAAATCATGCCAGGAATGGAGTTCTGGGAACTCGAATGTAGTGATATGATCCGTGGCCTACAGTTGGCTCCGGGCATTCAAAATCATGCCCAGGAAAGGAGTTCTGGGAACTCGAAGAACACGAAGTGGCCTACAGTTGGCTCCGGGCATTCAAAATCATGCCCAGGAATGGAGTTCTGGGAACTCGAAGACCACGAAGTGCGTTACTGCTGGCTAAAAAAGGAGTCCCCGGATTCCCGCGGGAGTCCCCGGATTCCCGCGGCACCCGTCGGGCATCTGCCCAGACCCCCCTGGGGAGTCATGATGCTCTCTTTTGAGACCACTAGAAACCTATCAGTCTTCGCTGTTAGGTAACATGAAATGCGGGCCCCATATGGAGAGGGTTCCCGCCTGAAACTTCCTCGCAATTCGCTCACAGACGAGCCTCCCGCTTGATACTCTCCCCATATTCACGCCTCAGGAGCCCAAAAGTGACGACAGCTACAGGGTCGAGGATGACCCGTTCGGATTATTAAAAATATTGAATGCCGGCCCCATCGGGAGAGGGTTTCCGCCTGAGACTTCCTCGCAATTCACTCACAGACGAGCCTCCCGCCGGATACTTCCCCCATGCTCAAGCTAGCGAATGAGTGGGTGAGTGAGTGAATTACTGAATGAGTGATGATGCTGATGAGGATGATGCAGATGATGAGTGAGTGGGTGAGTGAGTGTGTGATCGAGTGGTGGTCAAGGTGATCAAGATGGTCTGTGTGTGAGTGAATGTGAGTGTGAGTGATTGTGTGAGTGATGACGATGATGATCGTGATGATGATGAGTGAAGGAGTGAGTGGGAGTGAATGAGTGAGTGAGTGATGGTGATGATGCTACTGATGTTGATGATGATGCTACTGATGTTGACGTTGATAAGTGTGTGAGTGATGGCGACGTGATGACTGAGTGAATGAGTGATGATGAATAGTGAGTGAGTGAGTGAGTGAGTGAGTGAGTGAGTGAGTGAGTGAGTGAGTGAGTGAGTGAGTGAGTGAGTGAGTGGGTGATGATGCAGTGTGTGTTCTGGTTCCTGCGCGGGGTGTCCAGAGAAAATAAAAAACCCCACTTTGGATGTGGGGAAAAAGTACCGCGCCCCGCGGGGTCTATTCATCAGCCCCGGGGGGGGGTCCAGCCATTTGTTAATCACAAGCTAACATTACGATATTTGCGATGCAGCCTACGCAATGCAATCTATGCGCTGCAATCCATGCAAGGCCAATCAATCCGGGGCAATCTCCGCAATGCATTCCACATTAGTTCCAGCATGCTCTTCTACGCCACGCTGTACTATACTATGATGGGCTGTCCAGTTCTAGACGAAGCTATGCTAACCTAAGCTGCACTATGCTATCCTGCGCTGAGCTGTGCTGTGCGGTGCTAGGCTAAGGAGGAGGGCGGCGGCAGCTGGCGGCGACGAGCCAGCCGAAGCGGCACCGGGGCCAAGCGGCGACGGCGGCAACGGGCGGCGACGGGCGGGCCAGACTGGCACCCGGTGCGCAGTTACCTGAGCACACAAGGGAGAGCCCCTAAGCGCGCACACACACACACATACACACACACACATTCTGGGGGACATAGACTGCAAGTGCGGGCCGCAGTGCTTTCCGGTGTTGGGGGCGACGCTGTCTGCAGTTGTTATGAGGTGCTTCGCAGCTGCATGCACTGGTCGTGCTCAGTGCGCTTGGGTGTATAGTTTTCGTGGTCGTCAGCCTCGCCGTATAACTTCATACGTGTGCTGGCGTCGTAATACGCATGCGTCATTCGCTCCGTGGCTCCCCCGTTCTGCCTGTGCGCGGCTCTCGTGATGGACCTTGTCGCTACTCCCTTTGATTACGGCGAGGACGAGGGCTTGGTGCAGTATCTGTTCCTCCTCTTCCTCCTCCCTGTTCCCTCTTCCTCCTCCTGCTCCTCATCCTCATCCTCCTCCTCCACCTCTGCCTCCTCCTCGTCCTCCTCCTCCTCCTGCTCTTCCTCTCGCTCCCTCCTCCTCCTCCGCCTCATCCTCTTCCTCCTCTTTCTCCTCCTCCTGCTACTCATCCCTTCCCCCATCTTTCTCCTCCTCCTCCTCCTCCTCCTCCTCCTCCTCGTCCTCGTCCTGTGCTTCCTCCTCCTCATCCTCGTCCTCCTCCCTGTATTTGCCTCCTCCTCACTCCTCCTGCTCCTCGTCCTCAGTCTCCTCACTCCTTTATCCGCTCACCGTTCCTCCCAGCCTGTGGTGCCGAGCCTGCTCGCTCCAGTCCTGCCTCCTTCCTCCCACCCCTTCTCATCTCCCCCTCCTCGTTACGCCTCCTCCTCCTCTCCTCGTCATCTTCCTCCCTCGCCCACACCCACTCTCCCACTCCTCTCGTCTTCCCCTCCCTCCCTAGTCTAACTCTTGTCTCCTCCTCCTCCTCCTCCTCCTCGTCCTCGTGCTCCTCCTCCCCCTCCTCCCCCCCTCCTCCTCCGAACTCCTTCCTTGCCTCCCTCCCTCCCTCCCTCCCCCCCCCCTCATTCCCCTGTTCGTCCCTGAAGCCCCCCCCGGCTCTCATGCGACTCAGACGGCATGGGGGGGCTGCTGCGGACTCGAGCATGACCGCGGCGTCCTTGGAGCTGGTGCGGGCGATGCGCGGCGTTTTCCCCATCGTCTCCGCCTGGAGCGAAGGGGGAGGGGAGGGAACGCGGAGGGGGACAGATTCCTCCTTTTTGTTTCGTCGTCGTCGTCGATGGGGCCACAAAACACTGCACTGGGTGGGGGTCTCGCATGCGAGGGCATCCACTGGTGCCTTCGGTGGCGCTCACTATGGGGCCACGAAGCGCTGTACTGGGTGGGGTCCCGCGTGCGGGAGCAGCCACTGGGGCCACGAAACGCTGCACTGGGTGGGGGTCCCGCTTGCGAGAGCAGCCACTGGGGTTTTCGGAGCCGCTCCCTACAAAGGTCACGAAGCGCTGTACTGGCTGGGGGTCCCGAATGCGAGAGCAACCGCTAGGGCCTTCGGTGAAGCTCCCTATGGGGCCACAAAGCGCTTTGCTGGGTGGGGGTCCCGCATGTGAGAGGAGGCACTGGGGTCTTCGGTGGAACTCCCGATGGGACCGCGAAACTTGTTAAGGGTGTGCCAAAGAAAAGGAGGTGACGAGATGAGGAAGAGAAGGGGGAGGAGGAGGAGGAGGAGGAGGAGGAGGAGGAGGACGAGGACGAGGAGGACGAGGAGGAGGAGGAGGAGAGGTGGGAGACGCGGGGCGCTGCCTCTTCGAAACAAAAACCCAAAACCACAGGATGGTTGGAAAATAATCGAAAAGGCGTCCTAGGCCGCATCCACCATAACACGCGTAATCAAATTCGCGTTCGAGCTCGTAGCCGTAGTAGTAGTAGTAGTAGTAGTAGTAGTAGTAGTAGTAGTAGTAGTAGTAGTAGTAGTAGTAGTAGTAGTAGTAGTGGTAGTGGTAGTAGTAATAGTAATAGTAGTAGCAGTAGTAGTAGTAGCAGCAGTAGTTGTAGTCGTAATAATAATCGCCGTAGTAGTGGAAGTAGTCGTAGCAGTAACAATACTAGAAGTAATAGTACTATCCGTAGTCGTAGTCGTAGTCGTAGTCGTAGTAGTAGTAGTAGTAGTAGTAGTAGTAGTAGTAGTAGTAGTAGTAGTAGTAGTAGTAGTAGTAGTAGTACCAGTAGTAGTAGTAGTAGTAGTAGTAGTAGTAGTAGAAGCAGTGGAAGTACTAGTAGTAGTAGTCGTAGTCGTAGTAGTCGCACCAATAGTAGTGAACTTAAAAGCAGCAGCAATAGTAGTAGTAGCTGTAGTCGCAGCAGCACTAGTAGTAATAGGCGTCGTCATAGTAATAGTACCAGACGTACTAGACTTAGAAGTAGTTGTAGTACGAGTAGCCACAGCAATCGTAGTAATAGTAGTAGTAGTAGTAGTAGTAGTAGTAGTAGTAGTAGCAGTAGCAGTGGTAGTAAGAGTAGTAGTAGGAATAGTCGTAGCCGAAGTCGTCGTAGTAGTAGGAATCAGAGATGTAGTGGTGGTAGTAGTAGTAGTAGTAGTAGTAGTAGTAGTACCAGCAGTAGTAGTAGTAGTAGTAGTAGTAGTAGTAGTAGTAGCAGTAGTAGTA